TAGGCGAGTCCGAACCTTCTCAAGGGACTGTCGATTCCACAGACAACAATTATCTCGAAACACGTAACATTGGGCTCCAAGGCACCCATTGTGTCTTTGGGACTGCTACCGGTGTTTGTGTCGCTACTGGAGACAATACAGTGTTTGGACGGATTGCTGGACTAACAAATAAACCACGACACGAATTCACTCCTTTACAAAAGGAGATTCTCCGTTTTGTTTTGATTATAGTCGGCTTCATTGCTACTGTTGTTATCGTAGTTGTGGTGCTATGGTATGTTTCACCCCTCTTATTCCTGAAGAGTTTGATTTAACATTTGCATAGGGCAGCTTGGTTACGTAGGGATCATCCCAACTGGATCAACGTTCCACTTCTCATCGTCAGTTGCGTCTCAGTCGGAATCGCCTTTGTGCCAGAAGGACTCCCTGTTGCTGTCGCAATGAGTCTCACTATTGGTGCAAATATTATGAAGAAAAATAAAATCCTCTGCAAGTCTCTTGCAACTGTCGAGACCCTTGGCTCGGTTTCTGTTATTTGCTCGGATAAGACTGGAACTTTGACTAAGGTGAAGCTATCGAACTCTATGCTGTTTTCGACCACGTCTAATATATCGCTTCTTTCTAGAACGAGATGTTTGTAACTGATTGTTTCGCTGGCGGGGAAGAATACACCGAGGAGGCTGCACGAAGAGCTATTATTGGAGGAGGAAACACTAACCTTTTCCTTGAAAAATCCCTAGATCAGCTCCGCATAGTTGGCGGCTTGTGCAACGCAGCGGAGTTTGATGCTTCTACTTTGGGTTACCCGCCTGGCCAAATGAAAATGCATGGTGATCCGACAGATCAAGCTATCCTCCGTTTCTCAGAAACTTTGGGACCCGTCAACCAGCTTCGGAACGACACAAAGAATCTTTTTGAGATCGCTTTCAACAGTCGGAATAAGTTCATGATCCGAATAATGCACTCATTGAAGGCTGGAGTTGAAGACATGTCCGTGCTACCTAATCTTCTGTTCTCTAATGGGTCGCTAACTTTTCCACCAGGCTTTATATTAAAGGGGCCCCCGATGTTTTGATCTCCAGATGCGGAAGTATTCTTCAAAAAGATGGTACCATTCGAGCCCTCTCAAGTGTGGATCTAGCAGGGATTGAAGGGGTCAAGGATAAATGGTCTCGTAGTGGACAGCGCGTCATTCTTGTTGCCCAAAAACCACTTGGATCAAACGCGGGCAACGTTCTGTCGTCTTCAAATGTGGAGAAAGCTGTTCTAGATGAGGCTAAGGAGAACTTGATTTTCCTGGGACTTGTTGGTCTAAAAGACCCTGTTGTAAGTACTTTCTATTCCAAAAATCATATCTGTTTCGGTATATGCTCACCTCGTCAATAACCTCGTCAATAACTAGAGGGAGGAGATCCCTAGCGTTATCAAAACTCTCCGAAATGCTGGAATTCGAATAATGATGGTAAAATTTCTTACCCCTCTCTACTTCTCTTGCATACTTTTTCTCACGATTGGCTAACCCGCATATATTATAGGTGACGGGAGACTTCAAGCTTACCGCACAAGCAATCGCCATCGATTGTGGAATTATTAAAACACCACCAGCTCTTATCCACGGAGTCGACGATCTGGCCCGTGACTTCGTATCTTCACCAGAGAAGGGAAAAGAAACATTTCAGTCTATTGTTATAAGTGGCCCTGAGCTAACGACCCTCAACCAAAATCAATGGAAACAACTCTGCAAATACCAAGAGGTCGTTTTCTCCCGCACCACACCGGAACAGAAGCTTCGAATTGTTAAGGAATTCCAAGCGGACGAGAATATCGTTTCCATGACTGGTGATGGTGTCAATGATGCGCCAGCCTTGAAGGCCGCTGATGTAGGTGTCGCGCTTGGTAGTGGCTCTGATATCGCTATCGAGGCAGCGGACATGGTGCTCCTCGATTCCTTTTCTGCTATCGTGGAAGCCGTAAGATATGGACGCGTGGTCTTTGGTGAGTTCTCATTTTTTTCACCCAGGTTGAAGGCAGCGGCTAATTAGTGTAGACAACTTGAAAAAGACCATCATATATCTTCTGCCAGCTGGCAGTTTTAGCGAATTTTGTAACTCTTCCCTTAAAAAATCAAGACGCATTTGGGCTGTTTAGCTGACCTTACATCAGGGCCAGTTATGGCAAATGTCGCTCTGGGTGTTCCGCAGGTTCTGTCTTCATTCTTAATGGTATGATTTTTCAAAGACCCAGATATGATGCACTCTGCTAATATTTGATAATTACAGATTATCATCTGGTAGGATTATCACACTATCAATATCTGGGGTGTATCCTACTCTGCTAACATAAAAAATGACACTATAGCCTCTTCACAGATGCTGCAGGTGCCATCACCTTAGCATACGAAAAGCCGGAATCAGATGTCCTCCTTCGACCACCGCGTGTCCCAAAGAGGGATCGTCTCGTAAACTCCCAACTTATCTTATATGCCTATGGATTTATCGGGGTTTTCGAGTGTGCGCTCTCATTCATAATGGCATTTTGGTACATGGAGGTGTGTTATACGTCACCCAGTCCACTCCTTTCACGCGTGGCTTCAAAGGAAATACAGGCTAAACTATGTTGCATCATTCTCTGTCTACAGCGACGCGGCATCCCATTCAGCGCCATGGCTCTGAAATACGGATCGATGGACCCCAAATATGACCCGGACTATGTCACGGAGATAACCAATAAGGCATCTTCGATATACTTCGTCAACTTGGTCGTGATGCAGTTTTTCAACCTTCTCGCCGTTCGCACCAGACGACTAAGTCTCTTCCAGCAGCCGCCGATTTTCAATAAAGAGACGAATAACCCGGCTATCTTTATAGCCATGGTATTCGCTCTGTGCATTGTGTTTATTTGTATGTTATTTTATTGTCCCCCTTTTGTTCATCTTGTTTTATCTACCGTCGATCTCTCATGCCCTCCCTACGTATTCTATGCTTTGAATTTTTGGTTTAATTCTGTCCCAATGTCATTTCATCACTCACACTCACGCTGTAATCATAACAATATATAGTCTGCTACATTCCCAGCCTCCAGAATTCCGTTGCAACCACATCAGTGCCGGTCGAGTACTTTTTCCTACCCGTCGCGTTCGGCCTCATACTTCTTGTGCTGGACGAAACTAGGAAGTACTGTGTCCGACGCTGGCCAAAGGGGGTCCTCGCGAGAATTGCCTGGTAATCAAACTTTCATATGATATGATATGATGTGCCCACACCAGACGGGCATGTGACACTCTTGGCCAAAACAGGTGGGCCGATAGATGGGGTGTGTGGATAGGGCTTTGTGTGGTGTAGAATTGGAGTGGTCTATCTGAATATAAATACCCGGTGCGATTTTTTTTTAGGTGGCTCAGTTGATTGTACCGGTTGAATTACTTCTTTCCCTTCCTTCTCAGGGCCTTTTCTTCTTTTAACCATTTGGTGGTTTCAGAGTGCATTATGAATGCTGGTAGAGCAAGAGAGCGATAGTCTATTTCTTGTCTAACATTTCTAGTGCGGGACGTATATACATATGAAATATTCCGGGCTGGAGAAGGAGCCAAATCAATCCATCCCAATTTGCTCGATTGTGCTCTTCTAACCCTAGTTTCATTCGTTTTCTCACTTCATGCTCGCAGGCTGATTCAAACAACATCTCCCTATAGTACAAGTTACATTTATGGTCCTTCTGGGAATTAGATTCTGAAAATGTTTAAATAAGCTCATCGATTAACTCCGTTCCCAATTCCCTGCGTGAATGCCTGTTCTCGACGGTCGCGGGAAGATCAATAGCACTATTCCGGACGCCAGACTTAATACCGTGCGAGGATGTTACCGTCGATGAAAAGTCACTCAGCGGTTAGTTAGAAAGCCCACGTATGTGTTATTTCGTCTAACCGATGAAGTAAATATAAGCTACATGGCTATTTGGGTTACACATGGCTCCGTAGTCATTCATTTTTCAACATACAACAGTTCAGCGAATAGCTGCTCACCTTGTCCTCTAAAAATCCGTTTCTTCTATGATGATTGACCATCCCGAAAAGTAGTTGAATTGTTTTATGTGTACTTAACTACCATGAAAGGAGATAAGAACAAATGACACAGGTTCACCCCAATAAGTTGGGTAGTGTGTATACAGTGAAAAGACTGGCTGTGCTACTCCTAGTTTAAAATAGTCAACTGGCCGAACTGGAGATTGATCATGATATACCTAGATATCTCCTCTTGCTAAAGCAAGGAGCTTCTGTGATGTGATTTTTTGAGCGACATCTTGTCTGGGATTGCGGGAGAGTTGGCTGCAGTCAAAGACAATGAGGGACGTCAATTGCGCATCCTCCATGAGATTTTGTTCCATTAGAACCCTGAACATGACTTTTGTCACTCTCTCTACTCCGTATGCATCATAGATGAACCAATTAGAAACAACTTAACACGCTCGTTCTTGTTCATAGCTTATCCTGCTTAAACTTTCATCGAGTCCATGAATGCTCAAAGTATATGCATGCAGTCACCAAAGGATGGTTACTCAATTACAGATGCGGAGAACAAAAAGGCCCGTTGTCTAGGATTTATGGTGCCTGTGATGGGCAGGTTTACTTACGCCTAGAGGCTCGGTAACTACCAATCAGCTTATCACTTTCTTCAGGGAGATTTGATCCATCCAAGATGGATTGGCCCGGTTGGCTCAGCAAACTCCAGGATGCAGATAGTCAACCCCGCAGCCCGAGGCTGACTGATAGCTAACACGCTGCACTAACTAACTAGTTATAGGTTACAAAATGAAAACCCTTAAAATAACCTGAGAACTGTGCATTTTGACTCTGCAGAATATTGCGACAAATCCGATCCTTGTGCCTTGCACTAAATTACCAAAGCCCGCTTGAACCAACTGACATTGTTGTTCTGTAGTAGCTGTAGTAGATATTGTAAAAAAAAATCACTGCTACGACACCCTCTCAAGAATGGAGAAGTCTACATGGCCTTCTTGAGGCTTCCACACTTTCGCAGCCACTCCGCATTGATATCCCGATAGCCATCGTGTCCGTATGGACCCCATATCTCTGCCATTACACCTCCCTTACGGCGTGGCTCAAGCCCCAGATCGCGCTGCAGCAGGTCGAGGTATGGTACGGCATCGAAAATATTACTACCCCAGTGCGTTAGATATCGCCACTTGCCAAACCGATTGTATAGCACCGTGTCATATCGGAGTTTCTGCATTGCCGCATCATCCCGGATGGCTTTCGCGGGGTCATTTACTAGGAGGCCGGAGGAGTACGCGCCGATCCAGAGGCCTTGCAGATGCGCAGTGAGGGTGTTGCTGAAGTTGCTGACCATGCCAGCAAACGCTATGTCTCGTACTTGCATGAAGCGCTCAGAAGGTGGCACGAGGAAATGGTGTAGCATGTATGGTGTCAGCGGAGTCCAGGGCATCACTTTATCCTTAGACTCGATGCCCTTTTTGAGAGGTCAGCGGGACGTAGTCCTTGTCCCAGTTTGATTGGTTCTTGAGGCGTGGGAAACGCTGAGTACCTCCTCGTCAGCATGTTTGATGAGGTCTTGTTGATTGGAGAGATCCTCCATTGGAGCATTGTCCAATGGCAAGTGGGGGAGCCCGAGTTCTTTGTCAATTCCTTCAGGGAGGAACTTCATGGGTGGAACATGTTTCCATGCCCGGACTAGGTGATGAACTTCACCAAGCCGGATCGTGATTTTGTCGCCCTGCTTAACAAGGTCGAGAAAATCGGTGTCATAATTGAGGATACTGAAGCTGGCTCCTATGAACATGGCATCGATCCATGATTTCAGTTTTGCGGTTTCTGGGTGCTTGTCGAATGCCATGAGCGTTATGACGTCTCCGCCTAGTACGCCCCAAAAGCGATTGGCAATGGCTCTGCCAACGGCAGTACCATGGAGAAAACTACGAATGCCCGTGTATCCACCAGCTTCACTGAATATACATGGACTGAACCATGTTAGCAAGCGAATATCTGGGTAGAGACGTTAGACGCAGCTGTTGGAAGGACAGTACGACGGACCTACTTGCGAGCTTCTCAATCCACTTTTTCAGTGATGTCACATATGGGGGCGACATCCAGCATGGGCCACGGCCAGTTGCTAATTTTCCAAAGTCAGACCAAGTTGTTATATTGCCTCTAGAACCGGGTATCACATACATCGGATAATCCAATTGACTTTCACTCCCGCGGTGGAGTATGCATATGCAGCATCCCAAGCTGACTTGGTAGCACCCAAAATAGTAACAGATTTCGCAGTCCCTAAGGTGGCCTTATTCTGTGGAAAATCCTTGATATGGAATATCGGGCCACCAAAGGTCTCTTGACCGTCGAAGTGCGGCAAGAAGGCTTCAGACGTCAACCCTGTGGCAAGAATGAGAGCCGACATACAAAAACTTTAGACTCTCCCTCTTTCGAGTTATTAATCGTCAAATTCCAGCCGCCTGTGTCCTGATGTTCTGCTGCAATGACCTTGAAACCGATTGGCTATTCCAAACTTGGCCGAGCATGCGTTGAGATAAGCATTGACGGCTCTCCCAGGAATGTGTTCGCCCAACTAAACCCCAAACGTTGCAGGATCCATGGGGAATTCTGGATATTCGTAGGTTCCCAAAAGGTTATTGGTTTTTAGCAATGGGTGTATAAGCGCTCATCGCCCCATGTTCCCCCCCCCCCCCCCCCCCAACAAGTGAAGATGCGGACTCGAAGATTGCCAGAGAGTCCTCCGGGCGCGTACAGAGGTATTGTTTTGCAGCGCCCAAGCCATACCACCCTGCCAGAGAAATTTTTCAGCGGAATCTCAAGCAAATCCATGGATAATACCATTTTCCTTTTTCTTGACACAAGAAGGTATATGCAATTGGGTTGAATAGAAGAGTCATGCAGTATTCTCACCAGCGTCTACAACCACACAGACCAGCGTCTCCATTTTGTCAGTGCCAGTTGCCTTAGCACTGTTCTCCAGACCCGCTGCTGGGTTTGTTTTCCTGCTGGACTTATGATGTGGTCGGATTTTACGCGCGGCAGAAACTTTGGATGCTCTGGCAGACCAGCCATGAGATCGGGGGACAACAACATAATACCCGGAAACTGGGAATCAAGCAAAGAGAATTCCCCCCTGTGGAAAGCGGCTAATTCAGCTAGTTTAGATGTCGCAGCCCGGCCTGCGGGAATCCAGAAAAATGGCTTACAGTTACACTTCTTGACTGTATAGTTATCTAGCTAGTGGACTAAGAAACAACTCAACTCTTGTAGTCTCGCAGTCTCGTAGTCTCTAGTTACAAGGTAAATGCGGGATTGGCCCCAACAATAATCGAGAGACTCCTTTTCAACCCTTTTCAAACTTCCAGCCGAACCGGGCTAATAAGAATACCACAGATCTTGATCTGCAAGTGGCCTTTGAGAACTCTTCATGGACAACACAATTGGAGCTTATTTAAGGTTGAGAGATCAATTCCTTCGTCTTGGTTTGAGTTTGCTAGTTATCAATAACTAATAGGGCCCTTGACATTCCCGCAGAAAAAGTGGTCTGACATGCTTGAGAGACGAGACGAAGCGCACCCAATTTGGCCTGTTCAGCCTGCTAATAGCATCAGGTTTTTGAAGGGCGTACCATGGTCGCGTTTCTCAAATTGACTCCGCCAAGCAAGCCGGACGGAATTCGATCCATGCTGTTTGACATCTCTCACGGATTCACGCGACTAATGAACCTAAAATGTTATAACGAACCTCCAAAGTCCGAAGTCAGAGAGTCAGAGACTCAGAGGAGCCAGAGATCATCATGCTACGGAAACGGCGGCATGCCTCCCCGCAGATGCCAACCACATACAAGGTTGCGCCATAATACGGTTTGAACCAAAACCATAAAAGAAACGAATCCCTTACAACCCCCTTGGGTGGCTGGCTTGTTCAAGTTGTGACCTATTAGCTGTTGCTGGAAACCCATTATTATTTAAGTTAATAAATTATCTTCCTGTCAATCGGTACCTGTGCTGTGGGAGTCCTGACAGAGCAAGTTGTCGCAAAAAAACCAAACTGAAGCTCTTTGTCAGGATCTAAGCGGTCAATCACAATTGGGCCTTTGAATTCCAGTAACACTGGGTTTGGATATACACTACATATTCCTGCAGTCGTCGATCATGGGGGGAACCGCTAATTGTCGGTTCGCATGTTGATCAAGTGTGTTTATAAGAACCGATCCTCTCCTTTGACTTTCCTTAACTTTCCTTGACTTCCCTAGACTTCTCTTGACTTCCTTTGACTTCCCTTGACTTCCCTTGGATTTGACATTCTCCTCAACATATGATATTGCGATTAAGATCCGGAAGCAAAGGGGGATAAATATCCCATCCCTTCTCGCAAGAAGAATCAAAGCAAGAGAGGCTTCTTATCTTCAATCCACTTGCTCTATGCTCAGAATGCTTGGTTCTCCAGCCTCCATGCCAATGACACAGCCTGACATTCCCGCAGCTTCACAACGACATGATGTCGCTACCTCCCCCATCTGATCCTGCCGCAGCAGCTGCTGCGCAGGCAGCTTATTATAGTTTTTCCATTGAAGCATGGTCACTTCTTGGAGTTGCGTTTCTGGTGACCATTATTAGAACGTATGCTCGAGTAAACACCTTGGGTTTTAAGAGCCTTCAACCTGACGATTACTTGGTTTGGGTTGGTGTAGTGCGTTTCCTCCCATGATTCTAAAAGCTTTTCCCACGCTATTCCCTAAGGTCAATAGCTAAAAGTCTGAGTCCACAACAGATATTCTACGCCATTGAGACTGCGCTCGCATATTCTGTTGGAAGCATAGCGAATGGGCTTGCCAATAATGGAATGACTGACAAGCAGCGGGCTGCTCTGTCCCCCAACAGTGCGGAATACCGCCTGAGGTTTGTAGAATCAAGCTAACTAGACTCAGTAGATCTAAAAACCAACTTATTCTTGCGTTTAGGGTTCTTGGTTCCAAAATCCAGCTGTGTGGGTGGTCGACGTACGGAACTTTGCTCTGGTCGCTCAAGTCGTCATTGTTGGTGCTTTATAGTAGATTAACGGTATAGAATCGTAGTTGTCGGGCCAATTTATCACCGCCACCTGCTGACTCGCACAAAAAATAGTTCGGTCTGAAACGTTCTTATCGGATCCGTATATATATTGGGTTCTGCTTCATCATTGCCAGCTGGATGATAGTGGTACTGAACCTCTTCCTCGCATGCCGTCCCTTTCATAAAAATTGGCAGATTTATCCAGATCCAGGACGTAGGTATTTTTACTGGGGAGCACAGTAGAAACTCTATCCCGCTGACAGTTCAATATACGCCTCCAGATGTCTGCCAGCCAGCCATATCCAACCAGATAGTTTGGGTCTTTCTCGGATTCAACGTTGCAACCGATTTGTACTTGCTCTGGATACCCATTCCTATGCTCTGGCAATCGAGCTTAAAGCCCCTGAAGAAGATTGGATTGATGTTTTTATTCAGCGGAGGATTGCTCGTCGTGGCCTGTGCTATTCTGCGTGTTGTAATGATAGTAATGGTAGGTCTAATTTCTGCCCACAATACCTAGGCATAGGAACCATATTCTGACACTTCCCAAAACAAAAGGACCCAATCAATGGTGCACAATCTGCCGGCTCATGGGCAGTCCGTGAAACTTTCATTGCGGTAATCATGGCGAACATGCCCATGATCTTTCCTGTCATGAAGCGCTGGACAACCTCTGCCTTTGGCTCTCTCATCAACTTAACGCGTTCGAGCAGAAAAGAGAATGATGGAACACCAAGAGAGCTGCAAACATTCGGTAGCGGTGGCTATAATTGTGGCCACAAGCTAAGCCGCGGTCCCCCAACGGCAAACCCGATACGAAACATAACTTTCACCGAGAGCGAAGAGCGGATGATTGACGAGTACAAGATGCGGAATATCAAAAATAAAGACAATGGTGTTAGCTGCAATAGTATCGAATTACCCCCGCACGCTATCATCAGCAATAACGTCCAGAAAAGTTTCGAGTTCACTGTCGTTAGTGAGCAAAACACACCTAACGACCAACGTCGTGTTCCTGGAGATGGGGATGGCACAAGACTGCATGCTTATATCGCCTTCTCTACTGCACCTACGGCGAAGAACTCTCAGGCCAGCGATATTGCCACTTTGCGGGGTTATTGACGAAGTTGGTTTTGGATCAAGGGTTTGAAGTAATTTTTTTTATATATATCTTTTCTGTAAAAGATAACATGTCAAATATAGACAGCCTTTTCCCTCGTTGTTTAGCTTGCTTTGAGCCAGACATGGTGTGTGATATATTTGTTTTCCTATTCATTGGGCGGAGAAATTCAATATGCATCTTTCAACACAACATTAATATCATGACATGTTAAACAAGTAGATAACTTGCTCCATGCATCCATTAACAAGCCGACGTTGTGAGGCATCAGGAAGAAGATTTGATGTTGGTCTGCTAGGTCAAGGTTTGTTGGGTAGTGATCAAGGATCTGAGTGTAAGGGGGGTGAATCAGAAGAACAACAGCTGGCAGGGATCGGATTCAATCCCGAGCTGAGCAGTGCTTCTTCTAAGTTCTCCTAATCCCTTGACAAGAAATTGGATCGACAGCTAACGAAACTCTTACTTCACTTGGATTCCAACCAGCAAAGTTTGTTTGCGGCTCGAAATCCCTAACTTGAGATGGCGGTGGGAAGCGAAATATAGTTAACAATATGCAGATACCACATAAGATATGCGAATGAAAGTTAAAAGACAAAAAAATAGGAACCTTAAGATTCCTCTTTTTTATGCCTTTTCCGAATCATGCACCCATTGAGAACGTTAATCGTAGGAGCGGTTACTTGCGGATCAGAGTTACGTGGTGACTCTTCTTGGCTATTGATGCCTTCACTAGTACCGGTCATTGAAGAATCCGGACGAGCGTCACCATCCATTGGGGTTTCGGCATCCGCAGGTCCCTTCTTCCGCTTTCTGATCAAACCTCCACTCAAAAGATTTAAAATATTTGTAGATTCTTGCGTTGAAGGTTCGATAGACTGGCATTCCCCAATCACAATAGCACCATGGTTGCTTCGACCAATTATGGTGGAGAGTTTGGAGAGCCAGGAATTAGTGCTCTCGACGGCTGCCTTTTCGTTGTCGAAATCGAGTTCGACAAGCAGTTTCATGAGATCTTGGTAGTTTTTGTCGCTTAGGATAATCGCGCCTACGGCACTTTTGGATAAAGACTCGGTTGGGTGCGTTGGCGTTTCTTTTACCCCACGGTCAGGCTGTGGCGGAGAAATAGCATCGCATGTACCCTTCCCTTGGGACTGCGCTTCGAGCTCCCTCATGATAGAGCCTCCGCTTGGATGGTTTGGTTCTGTTTCAGAAGTTGAATTCAAAGATGTCGCATCACCCATCCTAGAAATGCATTTATCATCCGATACTGATGCGAAATCATACGTGACTTGATTATTTTCGTTCTGACAAGTCGAAGGAGCCATTGGAACAGAGTTTAGAAGTCCAGGAGGGTTTATTACTACCCACAAGAACCCGACTAAACGGCCAGAAGAACATTCCTGCCTAAACGCCATCATCTCCCAGAATTGATCTATGGTCTTGATACTGAGCCATTGTCCACTATTCATTTCATTTGTTATATCGGGAATTTCGTCGTCAAGCTCCAGGAGAAATCGAGATTTCGGGTCATCTGGGAAGCGTGGGACTTGGCAACGCGGTGGTGCTGTTCGCGATCCACATATTTGATGCAGAGGGTAGGAGTTGAGCCAGCGTCGCCTGTCCTGGGGATCTAGTTTTGCAGATGGTGGCAAGAATGCCCTCGACTCGAACTTGTCGCAGCCCGGAACTATCAGGTACGCCGTTGCTGACGCAGCCTTCGCTTCACTATCACAATCTTTTCCCCCTGCAACTCGTCCATTACTGACATCAACTTGTGTTTCAGGTTCGTAACGTCTGACAATCGGGTCAACCACACGGCACCACCATTTAACCAAACCTCGATCGTCCAAAATATGTTTGTGTGGATTTTCCATGCTACCTGGGAAGAGGTACTGGTTTTGTGCGCGTGCAAAAAGAGAGAGAACAAGTCTAATCCCATGTCTCTGGCGTAGAGAGATTAGATGCGACAAAAAAGACGTTGAAATACTCCGCATCAACGATTTCACTGTTGGCGGAAGTTTCAATTTGTAGAGATAACCCGTCGAATCGGCTTTGGAAACGAAGATGGTTGTAAGGTTTGCAGTAGTGAAAACCAGTACTTCGATTGCGAATATGAACAATTCGGCGCCATCGTCCTTGATATCCTCCGCTGGTAAGTCCGGGCAAATTGACACAGTAAGGAAATGATTTTCACACCTCGTGTGCTCGTCACTTTGGCCGGGGGGAGGAGAGAAAAGTGGCGGACATGGAGTCGAACTAGTAACCAGATGACGGATACTAAGTTTTACATCTTTTGGTGTCGCCTGCGCGATCGTTGTTTGCAGACTAGAGGAGAGCATCGAGGATACATGAACGGGGATCAAGCAACCTGCCAACGCACAAACTAAAAAAGCTCAGAGTTACCACCGCCCCTGTTTGTTGACTGAGAAGATCGAATTGAATACGCCACTTACATCCACGCGAATCACCATGGATTCTTCAATCCAACTGTGGCATTCTTGGGTAAATATTTGCCCTGGTTTTAAAAACACAAAGCGATGAATACGACCACTTCGATTATATAATCAAGCCAATTAAGTTAGTTATTAACTAGTTCAACCAAAGTGGTTTAGCATCTCACGTGATGATGGTAGCTAAGGCACTAAATAATAATTCCGATTCACCCGGCAAAATGTCACTTGACACACCGCTTAACCCCATTTGGTTTCGCTTGACCATTTACTTCATTCGCTCAGACTTCTTCAGCAGCATCCATCCACCCCAATAAGGACAAGAGACTGGTTTTGAGCAGCTCATCTAGTCGATAGCGGGCAGCTGTTGGCGGTGGAATATGTGCTTGTGCTGGACTTTAGCTGATTTACTCTTGCTCTTTGTGGAGCTGTTTGATCGACTGCATCCACAGATATATATTGTATTGGGATTCGGTCCTGATCTCTGCGTCATGCAGACTGATCATCCGTTCTGGATCTGGAAAGAGAATAGCCTCCATATGGCTGCAGCATCCTAAAAGCTCCATCGTTGGGCAGTGGAAGAGGGGGAACAGGCAGCGGTTGGTCCATCCAAATCGAGGAAAATGCCTACCGCGAAATTGTCCCTCTTGCTTCCGATCCAGGATCCTTCTCTCGAACACGAGACAACATGAGTCGGTCCCTCGGTTTGTTTCTTTTCTCTTCTTTCTCTTTTGTTTTGTGCGGGGATAACCTCGATCCTTAAATCCCACGCGGCTATAAGCTCGTTCTACTTTCCCGAAGCGGAATTTCGTGTGACAGATCGCATTGAGTCGCTGTCCGTTTCAGGTCCTATGACGTTGGCCGAGTTCCGTATATTCGGGGTGTCTGTGAATATTCTATGTTCTTGTTCACTATCCCTTTGGAAATACTGCTCTTTGGCCAAGCTCTAATGTCGTTTGCACACATGGTATTGCGCTATATTCGGAGTGCTACCTACGCATGGCTGCTTGCTGCCTTCCTCGGGTCCGTGCTACGGATGGCTGCAATCAGGAAAACCAAGTCAGCTGTGGGCTTAATATATGCTGATCTTAGTAGCTCATTTTCTTAGTGATAGCATCAATCCCACTCGTTTACAGATTCAAAATGGCAATATTTACTCAAAAGCAGGTCTCTATAGCTTCACTTGGCAGGTCAATACATGATCGAGTCACTACTGAACACCAACTTCGCCAATGTCCAAGTTCGACAACCGCAAATCCCTATGCTTTAATTGCGGGATCCCCTTTTATCTTAGTGTCTTCATACTAGCACCTCCTTTGAAGTCATTGGTGAATTTGTACAAACGAAGGTTCTATAGTTGTCCCTTGAAACACTCCTTGTCAAGGTCATGCAGGGGAAGAAGAGAAGGAAAGAGAAGAACGTATAAAAGGACCTGCTATCCCTATAATCCCTCGCTCTTCTTCTTCTTCATTTTTTATCATAATCTACACTGACCACCTCCATTGAAATCCCGTGGCCAACTTTGCCTGGAAAACCTTTGCCAACTCACCTTCCTTCTTATGAGTGAAAAGGGTCAAGACGTCTCGCTGTTCCATCTTCGGACTATTCCAATTTCTCCACTCCATCCTTTGCAATGCATTACAAATCGGTTCGACGTATCGTCACAGGTCACACTCCGTCCGGTAAAGCCGTCATCGATTCAGATACCCGTCTCACACCATACGATCCTATGTCTTCAGACTGCTCTCCCGCCACAACAGATAAACTAGGCTTCACCACGTTATGGCGCACGGAGTCCTTCCCCGCCAAAGTCGACGGTCCATGGATAGACCTTCACGGCACCCAAATCCCCCTCGCCGACTCCATCGGCACAACAATCCGCATGGTAGATTTCCCGCCCGGCCCAGGGTTCATGCATCGAACTCTTAGCATAGATTTCGGCATCGTGCTTTCCGGCGAGATTATCCTGGAGTTGGATAATGGAGTGAAGACGATACTAAAGAAAGACGATATCGTCGTCCAGCGTAGCACTATACATTCCTGGTCTAACTCAACATCCAAGCCAGCCCGCATGCTTTTCTCCATGCTGCCTGCTGCACCTGTTAAAATCGGCAACGAGACTCTGGAGGCCACCACGATCCCACCACCCCCTGTCCATCATAATGGATCACCCTCCCACAGCAGAGGCTCCTGATTCCTATCCGCGAAAGACCGATCTGAATCCCGTAATCACCGCTTTCAATCCTTGGAGCACCCAACTGCGTTTAAAGGAACAAGAAAAAATATAAAAACGAAGAGCGGGATTTTGACAGACTTCCGTCCCTGCACATTCTCCATGCCAATCACCTCGACTGCACAGATTATATTTCATTTCCGTCCATGAAACCAGGATTTGATTCCTTTTGCACAGCGTGTTTGGAGAGGCCGGAGACCGATGACACCTGCATATGCTAGGCAAACACTTGGGTTGATATGGAAGGTGTTTAGTGTTAAACGATAGAATTTTACAAATGCCTACGTTATGGTATGAGAATAATGCAATTTTTTCCCCGATATTGAGATGAAAATAATCGACATTCTGTTTCTTTTATTTCCTTCCATGGGTTTCCCCACGCGCGTTCCGTATGGCAAACAACTCCAACCACCGTAACAAATCACTGTGCCAATTGTGTGCCATGCTTGTTGCACAGAACCTCGAAAATTCCACTGTGCCACTGGATTCATGTAGCCCAATCCGAATCCCTTCCAACAATGCTGTCTAATGCGCTGTTTCATACACTCGGTTAGTTCCAGACATGGAAGTATGTATGTACAAGAATTGTTTGTCTTTCCGGTTCTTTCACGCCGAACCACGATTTTGTAGTGTTTCGCAACAGAAAAATCCCCACGTGTTTAAAAGTGCGCAGTGACACTTTTGGATGAATTATCGTACTTTAAAGGGTATGAGAACAACAAGGAAATCGAGTGCGACAACGCGACATACATAGCTATTTATGACGTGCTTTAAAGGGGTACGAGGAGATATAAGTCTATGCATAACCCGGACAGATCCCTCGATCTTCGTCACAGCCCCTTTCCAGAGAAATCGACAGTGACATCAAGAGTAAAAAGCAAAGTAAACTCAAACGCCAAAAACCTCTCTCAAAAAAGGAAAAGGACATCAACTATTCAATCCTAGAGTTCCTGGTATACCTAGTTTAGTGCAATACCTCTATATATACCTACCACTCTATCCAATCTAAAAATACCCCTGAACCCCATCCAAATCATCCGCATTCACCAATGCAACCCCTTCCCTCAACAGCATCCTCCACACCTCATTCCGCACGCGCACCGGCCACCCAGGTGTTCCCCAATACCTTGCGCCAATCCCCTTCTTCTTCGCCGCCTCGATCTGCCCCCTCAACTTCTCCAGCTGCTGGGAATTCAACCACTCCATCTCCTCCCCCTTCCCTCTCCCGTTCCCCTCTTGATATCCCTCCCCCGGTGCCCACAACGGAATCGCATGACGACGACGACCACTACCCCCACCAACACCACCACCACCAATCGCATATTCAAGATTCGTTGATGCAATCGGCGATACGAACTTGGTTATATCTTCAAACCCTTCCTTGTCAAGATCAGCCAAGGGCCCATCGTAGAAATAATCACGGTTAGTGACTGGGCCGACGAGGTTTAGTGGTGTGTTCCCTGTGCCAATGACAGTGACTGGGCCTGGTGTTAGGGTATCGTTGTTGCGGAGGGTGGTGAGGTAGTTGGCGTGGCGGAGGGGTTCGAGTGCTGCGATTACGTGGGGCCAGGTTTTTGGGCCGGAGGTTTTGACGTCGATGAAGAGATAGAGAGTTTGGGAGGGGTCTGCGTCGTAGACGCCGCTGTAAATCAGGTTAGAGCGGTGTTTTGTCGGAATTTATACGATATGTGCGGACTGCCCTTACTTCCTGGTCTCTTCGGAGAGGTAAGGGTTGTGCGGGTTCTGGCGGCGGAGGACATCCATGATCGGATCTATGTAAAGGGATTGTAGGGTACGTGATCTGGTTAGGGAGGATTGATCATGGCCGACCTGTTGTAGATGTCATCAACTGTTTTGATACAGGAGGTAAACATGCAGCAGGGGTAAATTAGCGTACGAGGAGTTCGCCATCGTACAGCCAGACGTCCGCTTCGATAGACATGCAGCCGGCGGAGAGAGCTTAAATGCTCGTAAAGTTGTCAGCCTGCAATCCTATATATCTAACAGGTATGAAAGAGGGTTCCTCAGCAGCAGCCGCATACCTGAATAGAACGGCAGGTCTCTCCAATAGTCACTGTCATCAACAATACATGTCAGCGCATAAACACAGGCAAATATCTAACCTCTCCCGCAAACCCCGAGTCGCAACAATGGCGGCCCCATCCTGTCAGAATTTGGCAAGAAAAGCGTACTTATGCGAATGGACCGGGATCTAACCAAGATGGAGAATAATCCAATGTCAGTTAGCAATTGGATCTCCCGCATAGGTAAATTATAAGAGAAGAACGGAATATATAGTTACAGGGATAATCCCTCTCGTCAGATCGGTTGGATAGCCATACAAGTCACTGCGGTCAGTGTTCTTGAGGATATTCTGTAGCGAAGACGAGCCGGGAACCGCGGCGACTACGCGTGCCAGATGGAAAGACAGGAAAATGATGGGGACAGCTGCGACGAGCAGCATGGTTGCGGCGGGCGGAGAGTGGGCTCCGAGCAATGATGGGGTCATCTAAAGGTTGAATTGGCGTCTAAGATCGTCTAGCCATCTAGCCGTCTCGCCGTCTCGCTGTCTAATAGGTAGGAATGAGTGGATAATGGAATAACTAATCCATGAAACATCTCTCGTGGGTTTAGGTGGGGTTATAGACGTATTCTG